AAAAAAAAATTATTTTGCTCTTTTTTTTTTATTTGGACACCATCCCGTTATTTCTTTATTTTTAAGATCACCTTAATTCCTACTAAAATGTAAACAGCCCTTGTAACAGAAGAAGACATGACAAGTCCTCTTTATGGAGACATCTGGGGTCAATAAGACCCCTGATAGCCCCTCTACCCTGGAAAGCATGAGATAAAAATAAAAATATAGGAATATGCATGAATCATACATACTAGGGGGGTACAACTGGGGGGGGGGGGGGGGTCAATGGTGGAGAAGGATCTGGGGTTCTGGTAGATCACAAGCTTAATAATGGCAGCAATGCGAAGCTACGGGTTCTAGAGCAAAATCCTCTCTTGTATTAATAGAGGTATAGACTCCAGAGAGAGAGATATCATTTCCCCGGAACAAATCATTAGTAAGACCTCATCTGGAATATGCAGTTCAGTTTTGGCCACCAATTCACAAAAAGAACATTGGGGAACTGGAGAAAGTACAGAGAAGAGCAACCAAACTGATAAGAGGCATGGAGGAGCTCAGCTATGAGGAAAGATTAGAGGAACTGAATGTATTCTCTCTTGAGAAGAGGAGACTAAGGGGGGATATGATCACCATGTATAATACATAAGGGGGGGTACGATCTCCATGTATAATACATAAGGGGAGATATGATCTCCATGTATAATACATAAGGGGGGATACGATCTCCATGTATAATACATAAGGGGGGATATGATATGTATAATACATAAGGGGGATATGATCACCATGTATAATACATAAGGGGGATATGATCACCATGTATAAATACATAAGGGGGGATATGATCTCCATGTATAATACATAAGGGGGGATATGATCTCCATGTATAATACAAAAGGGGGGATATGATCTCCATGTATAATACATAAGGGGGATATGATCACCATGTATAATACATAAGGGGGGATATGATCTCCATGTATAATACATAAGGGGGGATATGATCTCCATGTATAATACATAAGGGGGATATGATCTCCATGTATAATACATAAGGGGGGATATGATCTCCATGTATAATACATAAGGGGGATATGATCACCATGTATAATACATAAGGGGGGATATGATCTCCATGTATAATACATAAGGGGGGATATGATCTCCATGTATAATACATAAGGGGGGATATGATCTCCATGTATAATACATAAGGGGGGGGGATATGATCTCCATGTATAATACATAAGGGGGGGGGGATATGATCTCCATGTATAATACATAAGGGGGGATATGATCTCCATGTATAATACATAAGGGGGGATATGATCTCCATGTATAATACATAAGGGGGGATATGATCTCCATGTATAATACATAAGGGGGGATATGATCTCCATGTATAATACATAAGGGGGGATATGATCACCATGTATAAATACATAAGGGGGGATATGATCTCCATGTATAATACATAAGGGGGGATATGATCTCCATGTATAATACAAAAGGGGGATATGATCTCCATGTATAATACATAAGGGGGGGGATATGATCTCCATGTATAATACATAAGGGGGGGGGGATATGATCTCCATGTATAATACATAAGGGGGGATATGATCTCCATGTATAATACATAAGGGGGGATATGATCTCCATGTATAATACATAAGGGGGGATATGATCTCCATGTATGATACATAAGGGGGGGGATATGATCTCCATGTATAATACATAAGGGGGATATGATCACCATGTATAAATACATAAGGGGGGGATATGATCTCCATGTATAATACATAAGGGGGGATATGATCTCCATGTATAATACAAAAGGGGGGATATGATCTCCATGTATAATACATAAGGGGGGATATGATCTCCATGTATAATACATAAGGGGGGGGGGGGATATGATCTCCATGTATAATACATAAGGGGGGATATGATCTCCATGTATAATACATAAGGGGGGATATGATCTCCATGTATAATACATAAGGGGGGGATATGATCTCCATGTATGATACATAAGGGGGGATATGATCTCCATGTATGATACATAAGGGGGGATATGATCTCCACGTATAATACATAAGGGGGGATATGATCTCCACGTATAATACATAAGGGGGGATATGATCTCCATGTATGATACATAAGGGGGGGGTATGATCTCCATGTATAATACATAAGGGGGATATGATCTCCATGTATAATACATAAGGGGGGATATGATCTCCATGTATAATACATAAGGGGGGATATGATCTCCATGTATAATACATAAGGGGGGATATGATCTCCATGTATAATACATAAGGGGGGATATGATCTCCATGTATAATACATAAGGGGGGATATGATCTCCATGTATAAATACATCAGTGGTTCATATAGTGAACTCGGTGTAGTTATTCACCCTGAGGTCATCACAGAGGACAAGGGGGCGCTCTTTACATCTCGAGGAAAACAAATGTAATCTCCAAACACGGAAAGGTTTCTTCACAGTAAGAGCTGTGAAAATGTGGAATAGACTCCCTCAAGAGTTGGTTTGTGGCCAGCTCAGTGGATTGCTGTAGGAAAGTCCTGGATTCTTTCTTGGATACACAGAATATAACTGGATACTAACATTTAGAGGTAAAGTTGATCCAGGGAATATCCGATTGTCTCTCGGGGGATCAGGAAGGAATTTTTTTTCCCCTGCAGGAGAAAACTGGATCATGCTTTGCTGGGTTTTTGCCTTCCTCTGGATCAACTGTGGGTGTAGGATTATAACTTTTTTTTTTTTTTTTAATGGTTGAACTGGATGGACTTTTGTCTTTTTTCAATAATGGCCACCAATAAACGATTTTACCTGCAATTGTACCACGATTAAACAACGTTTAAGGTGCATGTTTCATAGGTTTTGTGATTAAAAAAAAAAAAAAAAACGCATCAAAAATGCAACACGTGTGTTTTTTCCAGTGTCTTCAATGCATTTTAGACCTGGTTTACACCAATGCAGCTTGCGTTTTGTTTGTTTTGCAGTTCTGTATGAGCATTTTTTGATTAATTTTTTTGTTTTTTTTTTTGGCCAACTTGTTGCTGGGTAGATTAAAAATGCATTAAAAAATGCGTCAAAACCGCACATGTTTTTTTGCAGCGTCTTCATTGAAGTCTACTGAACCAAAACCGCAACATTGTACATTTAAAAAAAAAAATGTCCCGGACCCTCTCCAAACGATACGGATAAAATAATACAAATGTATACAAATACCCATCAATAAACCCAGGAATAGAAGAGAATGGTGACCCCCTCCCCCCCAGGAATAGGAGAATGGTGACCCCCCTCCCCCCAGGAATAGGAGAATGGTGACCCCCTCCCCCCCCCCAGGAATAGGAGAATGGTGACCCCCTCCCCCCCAGGAATAGGAGAATGGTGACCCCCTCCCCCCAGGAAAAGGAGAATGGTGACCCCCTCCCCCCCAGAAATAGAAGAGAATGGTGACCCCCCTCCCCCCCCCAGAAATAGAAGAAAATGGTGACCCCCTCCCCCCCAGGAATAGAAGAAAATGGTGACCCCCTCCCCCCCAGGAATAGAAGAGAATGGTGACCCCCTCCCCCCCAGGAATAGAAGAGAATGGTGACCCCCTCCCCCCCAGGAATAGAAGAGAATGGTGACCCCCCCTCCCCCCCAGAAATAGAAGAGAATGGTGACTCCCCCCCCCCCAGGAATAGAAGAGAATGGTGACCCCCCCCCCTCCCCCCCCAGGAATAGAAGAGAATGCTGACCCCCCCTACCCCCCCCAGGAATAGAAGAGAATGGTGACCCCTCCCCCCCAGGAATAGAAGAGAATGGAGACCCCTCCCCCCCCAGGAATAGAAGAGAATGGAGACCCCTCCCCCCAGGAACAGAAGAGAATGGAGACTCCTCCCCCCAGGAACAGAAGAGAATGGAGACCCCTCCCCCCCAGGAACAGAAGGGAATGGAGACCCCTCCCCCCAGGAACAGAAGGGAATGGAGACCCCTCCCCCCCAGGAACAGAAGGGAATGGTGACCCCTCCCCCCCAGGAACAGAAGGGAATGGTGACCCCTCCCCCCAGGAACAGAAGAGAATGGTGACCCCTCCCCCCAGGAACAGAAGAGAAACGGTGACCCCTCCCCTCAGAAACAGAAGAGAATGGTGACCCCTCCCCTCAGAAACAAAAGAGAAATGGTGACCCCCTCCCCCCAGAAACAAAAGAGAATGGTGACCCCCTCCCCCCCCAGAAACAAAAGAGAATGGTGACCCCTCCCCCCCCAGGAACAAAAGAGAATGGTGACCCCTCCCCCCCGGAATAGAAGAGAATGGTGACCCCTCCGCCCCTGGAATAGAAGAGAATGGTGACCCCTCCCCCCATGAATAGATGAGAATGGTGACCCCTCCCCCATGAATAGAAGAGAATGGTGGCCCCTCACCCCATGAATAGAAGAGAATGGTGACCCCCCCCATGAATAAAAGAGAATGGTGACCTCCCCATGAATAAAAGAGAATGGTGACCCCCCCCCCATGAATAAAAGAGAATGGTGACCCCCCTCCCCCCATGAATAGAAGAGAATAGTGACCCCTCCCCAGGAATAGAAGAGAATGGTGACCTTCTCCCCCGAATAGAAGAGAATGGTGACCTTCTCCCCCGAATAGAAGAGAATGGTGACCCCCCCCAGGAATAGAAGAGAACAGAGACCTCCTCCCCCCCAGGAATAGGAGAATGGTGACCCCTCCCCCCCCAGGAATAGAAAATGGTGACACCCCCAGAATAGAAGAGAATAGTGACCCCCCCCCCCAGGAATAGAAGAGAATAGTGACACCCCCTTCCCCCCAGGAATAGAAGAGAATGGTGACCCCCAGGAATAGAAGAGAGTGGAGATAATAGTGACCCCCCACGCAGGAATAGAAGAGAATGGAGAGAATAGTGACCCCCCCCAGGATTAGAAGAGAATGGTGACCCCCCCCCAGGAATAGAAGAGAACAGTGCCCCCCCCCCGTACTCACAGTCCGGACAGCAGCCATTGAACGCCATCCGGCAGATTCCACAGTTGTCATCATTGGCCACCCACAGCCAGGAGGCCACTCCATTCCAGGACTTGATATGAACCTTCATTGCTCCTCTGTTGGGGGAAAAAACCAATGAGAACCATTCACTGCACCCCCACTGACAGATCGCACCCTCCTCCTACATCCACCATCGGCTACTTCCGCCTTTGCCTCCCGCCGCTTCTTTGGTGGAGCCTAGCACTCGGATGCTTAGGTCTAACTGGGCGTGGGGACGTGCCGTGCGATCGCCGGGGGTGGGACCTATTTGGTAGGGTAAGCGAGGATGTGAGATGGGTAACAGTCTCTGCGGCGGCCATATTTGTTATGGGCAAGTTGTATAGAGAACTAACGTAACAGTGGCGTAACTTGTGTATGACTACTTTTGTAACAGAAACGGCAGCGGCCATGTTTGTTATGGGAAGAATGTCTATCTCTGTGTATGTAACACAGGGAGGACGGACTGTGGCCAGTGTGAGTAGAAAATGTCTCGGCATCAGAGTAAACAATGTCCCATCGTTGGTGTCAGTGGGAGGAATAGCGCCCCATCATTGGTGTCAGTGGGAGGAATAGCGCCCCATCATTGGTGTCAGTGGGATGAATAGCGCCCCATCATTGGTGTCAGTGGGAGGAATAGCGCCCCATCATTGGTGTCAGTGGGAGGAATAGCGCCCCATCATTGGTGTCAGTGGGAGGAATAGCGCCCCATCATTGGTGTCAGTGGGAGGAATAGCGTCCCATCATTGGTGTCAGTGGGAGGAATAGCGCCCCATCATTGGTGTCAGTGGGAGGAATAGCGCCCCATCATTGGTGTCAGTGGGAGGAATAGCGCCCCATCATTGGTGTCAGTGGGAGGAATAGCGCCCCATCATTGGTGTCAGTGGGAGGAATAGCGTTCCATCATTGCCGTCAGTGGGAGGAATAGCGCCCCATCATTGGTGTCAGTGGGAGGAATAGCGCCCCATCATTGGTGTCAGTGGGAGGAATAGCGTTCCATCATTGCTGTCAGTGGGAGGAATAGCGCCCCATCATTGGTGTCAGTGGGAGGAATAGCGCCTCATCATTGGTCTTAGTGGGAGGAATAGCGCCCCATCATTGGTGTCAGTGGGAGGGAATAGCGCCTCATCATTGGTGTCAGTGGGAGGAATAGCGTCCCATCATTGGTCTTAGTGGGAGGAATAGCGCCCCATCATTGGTGTCAGTGGGAGGAATAGCGCCTCATCATTGGTGTCAGTGGGAGGAATAGCGTCCCATCATTGGTGTCAGTGGGAGGAATAGCGCCTCATCATTGGTGTCAGTGGGAGGAATAGCGCCCCATCATTGGTGTCAGTGGGAGGAATAGCGCCTCATCATTGGTGTCAGTGGGAGGAATAGCGCCTCATCATTGGTGTCAGTGGGAGGAATAGCGCCCCATCATTGGTGTCAGTGGGAGGAATAGCGTCCCATCATTGGTGTCATTGGGAGGAATAATGCCTCATCATTGGTGTCAGTGGAAGGAATAGTGCCCCAAGGGCTGGATAGAGTCAAGCAAAGGGCCACATCTGGCACCCGGGCCGTGGTTTGGAGACCGCTAGTGTAACAGAAGCTGTAGTGTCCATGTTTGTTATGGGCAGAATGTCTAACGTTTGGCGTAATAGAAGCTGTAGTAGTCATGTTTGTTATGGGCAGAATGTCCATAGCTTGTTGTAACAGAAGCTGCAGTAGCCATGTTTGTTATGGGCAGAATGTCTATAACTTTTGATGTAACAAGCTGCAGTGGCCATGTTTGTTATGGGCAGTATGGCTATAGCTTTTGGAGTAACAGAAGCTGCAGTGGCCATGTTTGGTATGGGCAGACTATCTATAACTTTTGGTGTGTGACAGAAGCTGTAGTGGCCATGTTTGTTATGGGCAAAAAGTCTATAGCTTTTGGTGTAACAGAAGCAGTAATGGTCAGGTTTGTCATTGGCAGAGTGTGAATGGCTACTGGTTTAGCAGTGGCCATGTTTAGTATGGGCAGATCAATGTGGATTGAATTTATCCCACCTATAAGCAATGAGAGTTGTCAGTTGTAGCTATGTGGGTGGTTACATTACTAGCTATTTTTAAAAAAAAATGTGTTTGTAATGATTTTTTTTTTAAATTCTGTTTTCTGGTGTGAACATGGCTATATGCATATAGTCAGTAGGCTGCCATGGATGGCTCTAGAAAAGGGGAAGTTATAAGGTAAGTAAAAATAATGGAAAATTGTATCAAATATCATAATTTTCCTTTCTTGGGGCCAATCCATAAAAGCCATACAGGTGGTAGCTTGTCCTCTAGTGGCCTGCTATATTTTCCTGCTGATTCAGGTGTTTTTTTCCCAATAATCAATATATTGGGAGTTGTATTGATGGGTAAATGATGCGTGCTTTAAGGCGCATTCTGTTTGCCTTTGACGTCAGTATGAGTCACATCGGAGATCATTCAGAGTTCATTGACTGGTGCATCTGACCTCCTTCTCAGCTGCATCAAGTCGTTGACCTGTATGTGTTGAGGTACTTGGATCTTCATTCCTCCTAAGACCTCCTTCTCTCTAGCTCCCTTGTCACCTCCTCCCATGCTCGCCTCCAGGACTTCTCCAGAGCCGCTCCCATCCTCTGGCACTTCCTTCCCCAATGTGTCCGACTATCTCCATCACTGTCTACTTTTAGACGATTCCTGAAAACTCATCTCTTCAGAGAGGCCTATGCTGCCCCCCACCTAACAGCTGTACATGTATTTTGTCCATCAGCCCATCCCCCACAGTTATTACCTTTTGTATATCTCAACCCTCCTTCTTAGATTGTAAGCTCTAACGAGCCGGGCCCTCTGTGTCCTCCTGTATTCATTTGTATTGTAATTGTACTGTCTCCCATTATATTGTAAAGCGCTGTGTAAATCCTGTATAATAATCGATGGCTCTGTTCATAGCCATGAGGTCAGGATGGGCAGTGTAGATCTGCTGTCTGAACACCACTTGCAGCATTCAGGCCACAGCCCAGTTGAAGATGCCGCTCTCATGACACTTCAATCAAATTTGAATGTAGTAATAGATAGGACAACTGTCCCTGCTTCTGAATCCTTTCCTTGCACTGTCACCTTGTCAGACAGGTTTCTGATAGACTAATGCAGGCCATAGATGGGTCGAAAATCGGCCGATTTTTCGGCCGAAAATAAAATCGGCCGATTTTCGGATCGTTAGTGGGCTAATTGTTCAGCCGTTTTTCTGTGTTTTGGCAGATTTTTTTTATCAGTAAAGTTGGAAAGAAATCGGCCGATTTTGCCGATCGCCCGATTTTCGCGGCAAAGATGGGAAAATCGGCCGATCTTTTTACCGATAAAAAAAATCTGCGCATGAGCAGTGACTTGCAAGAGGAAGACAAAAAGAAGAAGAAGAGGAGGATGAAGAAGAAGAGGAGGATGAAGAAGAAGAGGAGGATGAAGAAGAAGAGGAGGATGAAGAAGAAGAAGAGGAAGAAGAAGAGGAAGAGGAAGAAGAAGTGGATGAAGAAGAGGATGAAGAAGAAGAAGAGGATGAAGAAGAAGAGGATGAAGAAGAAGAAGAAGAAGAAGAAGAAGAAGAAGAAGAAGAAGAGAGGATAAAGAAGAAGAGGATGATGAAGAGGAAGTAGAAGAAGAAGAGGATGATGAAGAGGAAGTAGAAGAAGAAGAGGATGAAGAAGAAGAAGAGGATGAGGAAAAAGAGGATGAGGAAGTAGAAGAAGAGGAAGAAGAAGAAGATGAGGATAAAGAAGGGGATGAAGAAGAGGAAGAAAGAAGAAGAGGATGAAGAAGAGGAGGAAGAAGAAGAAGTTGAAGAAGAAGAAGAGGATGATGAAGAAGAAGATGAAGAAGAGGATGATGAAGAAGAAGAGGAGGAATAAGAAGAGGATGAAGAAGAAGAGAGAAGAATAAGAAGAGGATGAAGAAGAGGAAGAAGAAGAGGAAGAAGAAGAGGATGATGAAGAAGAAGAGGATGAAGAAGAGGGAGAAGAAGAAGAGGATGAAGAGGAAGAAGAAGAGGATGAAGAAAAGGATGAAGAAGAGGATGAAGAAGAAGAAGAGGATGAAGAAGAGGAAGAAGAAGAAGAAGAGAGGATGGAGAAGAGGAAGAAGAAGAAGAGGAAGAAGAGGATGAAGAAGAGGATGAAAGTGCTCTATAATTACATGAAATAAAAAAATAAAATAATAAAAAATCTTTTTTGCAACGTCACCTTTGGTACATCTACTTACCCTGACTAATGCAGGCCATAGATGGGTGGAAAATAGGCCGATTTTCGGATCGTTAGTGGGCTAATTGTTCGGCCGTTTTTCGGTATTTTGGCAGATTTCTTTTTATCGGTAAAGTTGGAAAAATCGCGGCAAAGATGGGCAAATCGGCCGATCTTTTTACTGATAAAAAAATCTGCGCATGAGCAGTGACTTGCAAGAAGGAAGACAAAAAGAAGAAGAGGATGAAGAAAGAAGAAGAAGAGAGATGATGAAGAAGAAGAAGAAGAGGATGAAGAAAGAAGAAGAGGATGAAGGAGAAGAGAGATGATGAATAAGAAGAGGAAGAAGAGGATGAGAGGGAGAAGAAGAGAAGAAGAAGAAGATGAAAGAAAGAGGATGAAGAGAGGATGAGGAAGAGAAGAAGAGGAAGAAGAAGAAGAATAGAGGAAGAAGAGGAAGAAGAAGAAGGATGAAGAAGGAGGGAAGAAGAAGAAGAGGATGAAGAAGAGGATGAAGAAGATGAGAATGAAGAAGAAAGGATTGAAGAAGAGATGAAGAAGGAGAAAAGAGGATGATGAAGAAGAAGAATGATGAAGAAGAAGAGTTGGATAAAAGAGGAAGAAGAAGAGAGATGAAGAAGAAGAGGAAGAAGAAGAGTAGGAAGAAGAAGAAGAAAGAAAGAGAAAGAAGAAGAGGATGAAGAAGGAGAAGAAGAGGAAGAGGAGAAGAAGAGGAGAGAGAAGAAGGAAGAAGAGGAAGAAGAAATGAAGAAGAAGAAGAAGAGGAGAGAAGATGAGGAAATGAGATGAAGAAAGAAGAGAAGAAGAAGAAGAAGGATGAAGATGAGAAGAAGAAGAAAGGATGAAGGAAGAGAAGAAGGAAGAGGAGAAGGAAGAATGAAGAAGGGATGAAAGAATAAGAGATATAAAGAAAAGAGAAGAGGGAGAAGAAGAAAGAATGAAGAAGAAGAAGATTCGAGAAAGAAAGAGGAAAAAGAGGATGATCAGAATAGGAAGATGAGAAGAAGGGAAAGAAGAGGAAGAAGAAGAGGAGAAGAGAAGAAGAGATGAGAAGAAGAAGAAGAGGATGAGGAAAGAAGAGGTAGGATGAGAAAGAAGGAAGAAGAAAGAAGAGGATGAAGAAGAGAAAATGAAAAAGAGGATGGATGAAGAGGAAAGGGATGAGAGAAGGAAGAGGATGAAAAGAAGAAGAAGAGGATGAAGAAGAGGATGAAGAAGAATGAGTGAAAGATGGGAAGAAGAAGAGGGAAGAAGAAGAGATGAAGAAAAGAAGAGAAATGAAGAGGAAGAAGGATGAAGAAGAGGATGAGAAGAGGAAGAAGAAGAGGATGAAGAAGAAAAGAAGAAAAGAGGAAAGAAGAGGAGAGAAAGAGAAGAGGAAGAAGAGGGAGAGAGAAGAAGAAGGAAGAAAGAGGATGATGAAGAAGAAGAGAGGATGAAGAAGAAGAATGAAGAAGAAGAGGAAGAAGAAAGGATGGAGAAGAAGAAGAAGAAAGAGGAAGTAGAAGAAGAAGAGGAAGGAGAAGAAGAGGATGATGAAGAAGAATGAGAAGAAGAAGAGAGGAGAAGAAGAAGAAAGAAGAGAGAAGAAAAAGAAAGAAATGAAGGGAAGAAGAAAGATGATGAAAGAAGAAGAGGATGAAGAGGATGAAATAAGGAAGAAGAAGAAGGATGGAAATGAAGAAGAGGAAAGTAGAAGAAGAAAGGAGAAAGAAGGAGGATGAAAGTAGAAGATGAGGATAAAAAAGGAGAAGAGAAAGAAGAGGATGAAGAGAAGAAGAAGAATAAGATGATGAAGAAGAAGAAGATAGAAGAGAATTGAAGAAGAAGAAGAAGAAGAATGAAGAGGAAGAAAGAAGAGAATTTAAAGAAGAAAGAGAAGAAGAAGATGAAGAAGAAGGATAAGGAAGAAGAGGAGAAGAGAGGAAGAAGAAGGAAGAAAGGAGAAAGGAAGAAGGAAGAATGGAAAAGAAGAAGATGAAGAGGAAAAAAAAAGGATGATGAAGAGGAGGAAGAAAGAAGAGAGGAAGAAGAAGAAGAAAGAAGAAGATGAGAAGAAGAGGATGAAGAAGAAGAGGATGAAAAGAAGGAGAGGATGATGAAGAAGAAAGAATGGGATGAAGAAGAGAGAGGATGAAGAAGAGGAGAAGAAGAAGAATGAGGATGAAGAAGAGGAAGAAGAAGAAGAAGAGGATGATGAAGAGAAGGGATGAAGAAGAGGATGATGATGAAGAAGATGAGATGAAAAAGGGGAAGAAGAAGAGGAAGAAGAAGAAGGGATGAAGAAGAAGAGGATGAAGAAGTAGAAGAGGAAGGAAGAAGAGGATGAGAGATGAAGAAGAGGAAAGATGAAGAAGAATGAAGAAGATGAAGAAGGGGATACCCTGAAGAAGAAGAGGAAGAAGAAGAGGATGATGAAGAAGAAGAAGGGATGAAGAAGAGGATGAAGAAGAAGATGAGGATAAAAGAAGAGGATGAAGAAGAGGATGAAGAAGAAGAGGAAGAAGAGGATGAAAAAGAGGATGTTTTTATTTCTGAATAAAAACATCTGTATCCTAAATGGATACAAATAGATACATTGTTGTTGTTGCAAGGAACTGTCAAAGAAATAGCGGAGCTCTCTGCAGGGACACTTTTGCCGGCTGTAGACGGGATGAAATCGGCCGATTTTTTTTTACCGTTGCTGGTAAAGTCGGTCGCTTGAACGACCGATTTTTCGTTTTTTTAAAAGAAAAATCGGCTGATTTTCGACGAGTCTATAGCCTGCATTAGTCTTCTTGGGCCCAGAGGAAAGTGGACATCTTGTGGCAGAAAAGAGGTATTGCAGGACTTCAGACTAAAGGTGACTATTGCACCCTTGGCTGCACACAGCTCTGGGCTTTTTTTTTTTTTATTACAATGGCCCCCTGCAGGTGTAAAAACAATGTTTTCTTGATGCCAACATGGCAGCCAACATATGATATAGCTCTGCCCCATATCCACCCACAGGACCAGTTTAAACCTATAAAGGAAGTAAAGAGAGACCCGCCCCCTAGTCAAATGTCAGTGAACTTCATCAGGATGACGGCTCAAGATTCCATGTCCGTTGTAATAAAGTCTGATTGTTCATTATATCCCCCCGTTTAACTAGATAGGTATCATATTTATGACATAGTGGTGTCAGGAAAAAACAGAAAAGTTGGGGAAGTGATCAGCAATTTTATTTTTTTTTTAAAGAATTTATTTGCTATAAGCAAGCATTTAACTGAATGAAATCGATTCATTTAGGTTTTTTGGTTGTGATTGGCCATGGCTAATCACATGACAGAGGCTGTCAATGGCCCAGCCTGTGCATGTGATCACTGTGACCAGTCACAGCTAGACACACTTGTATTCAATGGATGGCATGAAAGGAAGCCATCCATTGTTGACAACTGTCATGGGACCTGCTGTAATTGGTCACAGCAGGTCACATGGTGCTGGCAACGGGGCCAGTACACAGATCTGTCATCGGCCGTGTCCAAGGTACACAGCCGGTGACAGATCTCGACACCGAGCGGCTCTGCGGGCATGCGCAAAGCGCGATCTGAGAAGGACGTCATATGACGCCCTCCCGGAACGACGAAAGGTTCACCTGCCTGTCATTTTACTAAAGGCCGGGTGGGAAGTGGTTAAACAGGTTCTGTGGGTGGAGATGGGGGAAGGGCTATATCATATGTATCCTGCCATGGATTGGCATCAGGAAAGAAAAATTACCATATTTGATACAATTTTTTTAAAACCAGGACACCCTTTAAATACTCGATATGGTTCATTATTTTAACCCCTCGCCTACTTTCACCCCCTTCCTGCCCAGGCCAATTTCCAGCGCTGTCACATTTTGAATGACAATTGCGCGGTCATGCAACACTGTACCCATATGAAATTGTTATCATTTTTTTGAGACAGAGCTTTCTTTTGGTGGTATTTAATTGCCTCTGGGATTTTTATTTTTTCTTAAACTAACCAAAAACCACTGAAAATTTTGAAAAAAAATTTGTTTCTTAGTTTTGTTATACAGTTTTGTAAATAAGTGATTTTTCTCCTTCACGGATGTGCGCTAATGAGGCTGCAGTGATGGGCACTGATGGGCATTGACAGGCATCACTGATGGGCACTGAAAGGCAGCACTGATACATGACACTGTTATATGGTGCTGATAGGCGGCACTGTTAGGCAGCACTGACTGGGACTGATAGGTGGCACTGATGGGTGACATTGAAAGGCAGCTCAGATGGGCACTGATATGTGGCATTGATGAGCACTGCCTGCTGGCACTGATGGACACTGACTGCTGGCACTTCTGGGGTCACACTGATCATCAGGGCACACTGATCATCAGTGCCCTGATGATCAGTGTAGATGTCCCCTCCGCGGAAAGCCAATTACCGGCTCTCCTCTCCTCTGTCAGCGTGACAGCTCGAGAGGAGAGAAATGCCGATAACCGGCATTTCCGTGTTTACATGTGATCAGCTGTGATTGGACACAGCTGATCACATGACCGAGCCGGCATCTTCGGCTCTTTCCGTGATCTGCTGTGTCCGAGGGACACAGCGCACCGGCGATCGCCGTGCTGTGCGCTCCCTGAGCCGCGCATGTGCGGTGAGAATGGAAGGACGTCGTGTGACGTCCTCCCAGAACAGCAACATCTGTGGCCATAAATACGTATAGTATGTAATGAGGAAACATGTAGCTCAATGAAACTTCCCTTTCGTGGGAAGTTTCATTGACAAAAACAAAATTACTAAAAATAAAATATAGGGTATTCAATTGCGACACGAGTCATATTGTGATTGAATGTTATTAAAAATGACCTTTCCTTTCCGCTGTAATTTTCTGTAAAATGCAATATGGCCACCTGGGGGTATTCTGTACACAGATGATATACAGAACACCATTTCCTGCTTATGTGATTGGCTCACTCATTTTCCCAGAAGTCTGCACAAGACACAAGTCAGATTTTGGGCATCCCCTGCAACAAAAATGTCATTCTTGGCGAGATACTCCCAAAGGGAAATCACATCTAAAAGGGATGCAGACCTTGCCACCTTTCCTATTAGAGCCCTGCAGGTGCAGCAGCCGATTGATAATTATAAAGTCACTCCCATTCACGTTGCACATGGACACAGACACACAAACGGGTTTTTCTTCAGAATAACAAAAGGTAGGAATCTGAAACAAAGTTTGCTAAATCCTTGCAATGTAGAGATCACCCAGAGGGGAGGTTTTCTTCTCAGCAAAAGTGGAGTTACCCCTGGTTCACACCTACAGTTGTATTCAAAATAATAGCAGTCAGACATCACTAACCGGATCAATCACTGTTTTTGGTAGAAATATTTCTACATGGCAAATAATTTACTAGCAGGTGTAGTAGAGTAATAGAAATCCAACAGACCCAACAGTCATGACATGCATGCTGCTGATTTTGTGTCATTGAATCACTCATTGAAAGGGGCATGTTCAAAATAATAGCAGTGTGGAGTTCTATTAGTGAGGTCATTCATTCTTTGAAAAACAGGTGGCAATTATTGCCCTTATTTAAGGAAGGAAGGCAGCAAATGTTGTACATGCTGGTTACAGTGCATTTCTCTCTGAAATTCTGAGGAAAATGGGTCGTTCCAGACATTGTTCAGAAGAACAGCGTACCTTGATTAACAAGTTGATTGGAGAGGGGAAAACATATAAAGAAGTGCAGAAAATGATTGGCTGCTCCGCTAAAATGATTGCAAATGCTTTAAAATGGCAATCAAAACCTGAAAGACGTGGAAGAAAACTAAAAACTACCATTGGAATGGATAGAAGAACAGCCAAAATGTCAAGGACTCAGCCAACAATCAGCTCCAGGAAGATGAAAGAAGGTGTAAAGTTCCCTGTGAGGACTGTTACAATTAGAAGACGCCGATGTGAAGCCAAGCTATCTGCAAGAAGCCCCCGCAAAGTCCCACTGTTGGGAAAAAGATGTGCTGAAGAGGTTACAATCTGCCAAAGAGCACATTGACTGGCCTAAAGAGAAATGGCGCAACATTTTGTGGACTGATGAAAGTAAGATTGTTCTTTTTGGGTCCAGTGGGCGGAGACAGTTTGTCAGACGACCCCCAACCACTGAATTCAAGCCACAGTACACTGTGAAGACAGTGAAGCATGGTGGTGCAAGCATCATGATATGGGGATGTTTCTCATACTACGTTGTTGGGCCTATTTATCGCATACCAGGGATCATGGATCAGTCTGAATACATCAGAATACTTGAAGAGGTCATGCTGCCTTATGCTGAAGAGGAAATGCCCTTGAAATGGGTGTTCCAACAAGACAACGACCGCAAACACACCAGAAAACGTGCAACATCTTGGTTCCAGACCAACAAGATTGACGTAATGGAGTGGCCAGCCCAATCCCCGGATCTTAATCCAATAGAAAACTTGTGGGGTGACATCAAAAAATGCCGTTTCTGAGGCAAAACCAAGAAATAGAGAAGAGCTGTGGAATGTCGTCCAATCATCCTGGGCTGGAATACCTGATCACAGGGGCCAGAAGTTGGGTGACTCCATGCAACACAGATGTACAGCAGTTCTCAGAAACAGTGCGACTACAACCAAATATTCATGATGTCATTCAAAGGAAAGCAAAATCTTCAAACATTTCTCAGTTTATATAGTGAATGTTTGAGTTTGTAAAGAAGAATACAAACACTGCTATTGTTTTGAACCGTCTAATATTCACTTTTCTTCATTTTTTTTTAGAGGAATAACACAAATTTGATGTATTTTTCTTCATGTTGTGATTTGGAATAGAATGTGTCGTGTTCCCAATGCATTTGTGTGGATGGAAATAAAAGCTATTAGAAGGATTTTCAGCTTTATTCACATTTTCCAACACACTGCTATTATTTTGAACACAACTGTAGGTATAGTATGAGTGCAATGATGGGGGGGGGGGGGGGGGGGGGGGGGGGGGGGGGGGGGGGGGGGGGGGGGGGGGGACTGTGCCTGATAAAAGTGACATACTCCATATATACTGCATGCAAGGCTTCCATGTAAGGGATTTGTGCCCATGTGTGAGGCCAAGTACTGATGTTGGATGTCTGACATAAAAGAAAAAGCAAACGAATGCTGACACTCCTGCGCTGGACGATGGGCTCCACAATGTCAGTCCCCCCCCCCCCGCATAGAATGCTTTTTAGGAATACAAGCCTTGCTGCCCTCAACGGACCGGGGAAATCCAGAGGAGCTGTGTGTAAAGAAACAAACAGAGGGCGCACGGGCCTAGTGCATCACCTTCTAAAAATGAGATTTATTGAATAAAAAGTAGTATACTCACAAAGAAATAAAATCAAAAGGCACATCAATAGAAAGGCAGCATGGTCCAATCTCCCTAGATGGTGGCTCTTGGGGGCATGTAGACCTCCAAATGGCTGACGCGTATCGAGTCAAAACCTCTTCCTCAGAGCCAAACTTCTACAGGGAGGCCCCGGTGCACAAAATCACACATTATAAATATATAAAATTTGACGGGAGTCACTTTGGGTGGGGGGCCGTTGGAACACAGCTCACTTTGGAGAGGTGGGGAGACCCCTGTCTCAGCTCCCCATATCCCTCCTATGTGTAGGTCACCCTGTGCCTGTTAGGGGTACAGGGTGACCTGTCCTAATATTGGGGTGGGGGGTTGGTGATTGTTTCATGTCATGTGGTTGCATCCCATTGTTCTATTGTGTGTCTGGTTTGGGAGCAAACTATTATGGGATGTGTGTTTGTGTGTTCTAGCTTAGTGGGGGGGGGGTGTCTCCAGCAGCCCTCCCTCCTGATGGGACTGTCTGCTGGTGCGTCTCGTTACTGGGTGCGGATTGCCCCGCCCTGTGTCATTATGCAAGGGGGGGGGGGGGGGGGGAGTTGTTCCCTTCAATGTATATATCTTGTATCTGTATTGAAAAAGTAGTCTATTTCCTGATTTTACTTCAATAGTGGTGTCTGTGTTCGGACGGGGAGGCGGAGTCTTACGGAAATACCCAAGTGCAGTCAGGGTCCGGTTCAACAAAATCACACATTATATAAATATATATATGTTTACATGATTTTGCAGTTCCAGGTAGGGGGCCCTACTCAGGCCTCCATTTGCAGCCTCAGCTGTCAATCACCGAGTCTCGGCACACAGTTAACCCTTTGATCGCCCCTCATATTAACCCCTTCCTGCCCAGTGCCATTAGCACAGTGTCAGTGCTTTTTATTAGCACTGATCACTGTATTGGTGTCACTGGGAATGCTGGTGACACCAAATCTGCCCCCCCCCCCCCCAGTGTCAGAATGCCCGCCACACTCCCAATATAAGTCGTTGATCGCCGTCATTACTAGTAAAAAGGAAAAAAGAAAATCCCTGTATCTATACAACCATTTGTAGACGCTATAACGTTCACGTAAACCAATTCATTTACACGTATTGGGAGGGGTTTTTTTTGTTTTTGTTTTTTTAGCAAAGACACGGAGCAGAATACATTTTGGCTGAAATTTATGACATTTTATTTTTTAGAATATTTTACTAGACATGTTTAACAGCCAAAAATAGTGTTTTGTCTTGTTTTGTTTATAGCGCAAAAAAAAAAAAAAATGCACAGGTGATCAAATACCACCAAAAGAAAGCTCCATTTGTGGGGAAAAGGATGTAAATCTCATTATGGTGCAGCGTTGCATGACCGCGTAATTGTCAGGTAAAATAACGGAGCGCCTGGTCAGGAAGGGGGGGAAATCCTCTGGAGGGCGAGTTAACAGCAATGTGGCCACTTCTTGATCAAGTGCAAATATCTGAAAATTACGTCCTAAATGTTTTTCGACTGTCTTTTAATTTTTTTTTTAGGCAAATAGTGAACAAGTTTGTATTCATCTAACAAATCCGCCACTTTCTCAGTGCGACAAAGCAAGCGCAAAGCTATTTTTTTGGGAAAAAAAGAGTAAAAGCAGGAAAAAAGGGTTTTGTTATCTAACCTTAAATCTAAAGCAGACGTCTCCAAATTTTCTAAGCAATGGGCCAGTTTACGGTACGGGTGCAACACAGGCTGGAACTGTGTGGGATGCTGCCAATGTAGCAGCTGCTGCTTCCAGTGTTCCTCTCAGACTCGGTCCCTTACTGAAAGCCAGCTGGTGTCTGCTGTTCACTGTGGAGTTCCAGCCCTTCTCTTCCCATTCATTAGTGAAGGCGGAGCTGTGCCTGCGGAGGAAGGTAATGTCTGACTCTGATGTCTCGTGTCTGCGTGAGTGTGACCCAGCCGGCCATCCACATATGCAATGTGTCAGTGAGTGATGACATCATCACGTTCCCACAGCCTGCTCTTCTGTTGTCTGCTGGGCCTTCTGATCTGTGTCAGTGTTGGTGTGTTGTGTCAGATCAGCCACTGTGTGGGATCGCTCAGTTCAACTGCCTGCTGTCACAGCGTTTTACCTCCCCCCATTGCCTGGGGAATTCCAGCCTGAGATCTGTCACAGCGTGGATCCATCATCCTCTGCTCATTGCAACTGTCACCAGGATATGTTTTATAGCAAAATTGTCTGTCTTTTTGTTTATAGCGCAAAAAAATAAATAAATAAAATACATTGCAAAGGTGATGACATACCACTGAAAGAAAGCTCTAATTGTGGGGGAGGGACATATTTCATTTGTGTACAGTGTTGTATGACCGAGCAACTGTCTGTTAAAGTAGTGCAGTGCCGTATAGCAAAAAATGGCCTGGTCAGGTGGGGGGGGGGGGGGGAGAATCCTCTGCAGGACAAGTGGTTAACAGTAACATCTCCCCCCCCCCAAAAAAAAAAGTCAAAATACTTCCTTTAAAAAGACATTTTATTCAGTGATGTCACAAGCTGTTCACATGTCAAATACACAAATGGATGTTCCTGGCTGTATTTTACATCTACTGAAAGGGAAGCCCCCCCCCCCCCCCGACATTCAATGTTTTCTGAAAGTAAGTCACCAGCATTTCTCTAGTTGATCCTCAAAGGCCAGATCTTGTTTTTTCCAAAAAATGTGCCCCCTGAACTGGATGGAGATCAGAAACGGATCCAGCACACAGCACTGCGGATACAGCCGTAGTCAGGGAGCTGCTTGATGAGACCTAGATGGAGACAGAAATTGGATGAGAATTAGAAGACAGTTGCTGGAAATCGCCAGCATTCATTAACGACATTTAACAATTAACATGGGAACATTTTGTTCTTTGGATGAAGTGTGGATGCACTTTGATTGCTTGCCATGTCTCCATTGGGAAGGATGACGCTGACCCTAACATACATAATCACAAAGTCTATAAGGACAGAGGCGCCCTCAGCATGGATCCCTCAGTATAGACGGACGGCGCCCTCAGTATAGACGGACGGTGCCCTCAGCCCAGAGCCCTCAGTATAGACGGACGGTTTCCTCAGCATGGATCCCTCAGTATAGACGGAGGGCGCCCTCAGCAGGATGGATCCCTCAGTATAGACGGACGGCGCCCTCAGCATGGATCCCTCAGTATAGACGGACGGCGCCCTCAGCCCAGATCCCTCAGTATAGACGGACGGCGCCCTCAGCCCAGATCCCTCAGTATAGACGGACGGCGCCCTCAGCCCAGAGCCCTCAGTATAGACGGACGGCGCCCTCAGCCCAGATCCCTCAGTATAGACGGACGGCGCCCTCAGCCCAGATCCCTCAGTATAGACGGACGGCGCCCTCAGCCCAGACGGCGCCCCAGATCCCTTATAGACGGACGGCGCCCTCAGCATGATCCCTCAGTATAGACGGACGGCGCCCTCAGCCCAGATCCCTCAGTATAGACGGACGGCGCCCTCAGCCCAGATCCCTCAGTATAGACGGACGGCGCCCTCAGCCCAGATCCCTCAGTATAGACGGACGGCGCCCTCAGCATGGATCCCTCAGTATAGACGGACGGCGCCCTCAGCATGGATCCCTCAGTATAGACGGACGGTGCCCTCACAGATCCCCTCAGTATAGACGGACGGTGCCCTCAGCCCAGATCCCTCAGTATAGACGGACGGCGCCCTCAGCCCAGATCCCTCAGTATAGACGGACGGCGCCCTCAGCCCGGATCCCTCAGTATAGACGGACGGCGCCCTCAGCCCAGATCCCTCAGTATAGACGGACGGCGCCCTCAGCCCAGAGCCCTCAGTATAGACGGACGGCGCCCTCAGCCCCCTCAGTATAGACGGACGGCGCCCTCAGCCCAGAGCCCTCAGTATAGACGGACGGCGCCCTCAGCCCGGAGCCCTCAGTATAGACGGACGGCGCCCTCAGCCCAGAGCCCTCAGTATAGACGGATGGCGCCCTCAGCCCAGAGCCCTCAGTATAGACGGGACGGCGCCTCTCAGTATAGAGCCCTCAGTAAAGACGGACGGCGCCCTCAGCACAGAGCCCTCAGTAAAGACGGACGGCGCCCTCAGCGGACGGAGCCCCTCCCTCAGTAAAGACGGACGGCGCCCTCAGCACAGAGCCCTCAGTATAGACGGACGGCGCCCTCAGTATAGACCAGAGGTGAGCAAATGTGGCCCTCCAGCTGTTGTAGTACTACAAGTCCCATGAGGCATTGCAAAACTGACATTTACAAGCATGAGTCCCAAAGAGAAGAGGCATGATGGGACTTGTAGTTCACCAAAAGCTGGAGGGCCACAGTTGCACACCCCTGATATATACGAACGGCATCCTCAGCCCAGAGCCCTCAGTATAGACGGACGGCGCCCTCAGCACAGACGGACAGTGCCCTCAGCCCAGAGCCCTCAGTATAGACGGACGGCGCCCTCAGCACAGACGGACGGTGCCCTCAGCCCAGAGCCCTCAGTATAGACGGACGGCGCCCTCAGTATAGACAGCACGGAGCCCTCAGTATAGACGGACGGCGCCCTCAGCACGGAGCCCTCAGTATAGACGGACGGCGCCCTCAGCACGGAGCCCTCAGTATAGACGGACGGCGCCCTCAGCACGGAGCCCTCAGTATAGACGGACGGCGCCCTCAGCACGGAGCCCTCAGTATAGACGCACGGTGCCCTCAGCACAAACCCCCAGTCAGTATAGACGTACAGTCCATGGTACCACTTGAAGCTGCCGAAGTAAATGTACATAAGGAGGTCTTCAAGTGGTCAGTAACACTTTAACCAGCAAACTAAAAACAACGTTTGGATGGAATAACCTTCGGGATGAAAGTCACAACTACAGGAAAGGCTTTAAATTAAAAACGACCCACCATGTGCAGCTCCAGCAGACACTTGTTAGATGTACTTTCAGCAGATGTTCCTCAATGTTTCAGCACAGATGGCCTGCAGAGAGAAGACAAAAAAACTTCAGCATTTCACACATTTGTGGTCATACATACACATTACACAACACAGCTATTTTTTCTCATTAGTACACAGAGGTGGGGGCTGCAGAGACATGAGTGACACTTCTTTCATGCCTTTACATAAGACGCGGCGCTCAGCCCAAGCAGGACGCCTTGTATTATCTAGAGAGTTTATTTAACCCGGCGTTTCACTGCCAAAGTCGCTTGTGTTGCCGGCACAAATGCTGAAAATAAATAAATAAATAAATATCATTTTAGGCCTGAAGATTACATAAAAGCCCCAAACATTAGAAATATTTTCTGAAAGCAGACACCCTAGTCTCAAAAAATTTTTTTTTTTTTTTTAAAGGGTGGGGGGGGTGGGATATTTTGTGTTTGGGTGCAACTAATTTTTTTTACTATTAAAAACCTTTTTTTTTTACATCACGTAGGGCACATAAAGTCCCCATGTGTGATGATTTTTTGGGAAACAGATCATGGTTAATGAGACACTCGGGGTGTAATAGACCGGCATGAATCCCCTGAATGTAATGCAGTGCAGATCACATTGCATTCCATTATTTCCTGGTCATGCTGGTTGGGGACACAGAGGCTGACCTGACAGTGACATCATACACATGGCTTTCTGGGTGTGTCTGGTCTTGCTCTGTACTCCTGAAATTCCTCCTCACATTGACTGTTTCTACCATCCCAGCTACCACCTTCCTGCCCAGACAGATCCTCCCCTCACACCCCGCACCCTGCCTGCAGTGACCAAACACCAGACTTCTGTGGAATTCTAACTAAGAAGCCCAGGGAAGGAGGTCTGACAAACTTCCCTATAGGGGGTGCCGGACAAACGCCCTGTAGGTGATGCCGGACAAACGCCTGGTAGGGGTTGCCAGATGAACACCCTGTAGGGGGTACCGGACAACGCGCTGTAGCGGGTCTCGGACAAACGCCCTTTAGGGGTGCCAGACAAACGCCCTGTTGCGGGTGCTGCATAAACGCCTTGTAGCAGGTGCCGCACAAACGCCCTGTATTGGGTGTCGGACAAACGCAAAGTAGGGGGTGCCGGACAGCAACCTGTAGGGGGTACCAAACAAACGCCATGTGCTGGACAAACGCCCTGTAGGTGGTGTCGGACACACATCCTGTAGCAGGTGACAGACAACTGCAATGTAGGGGGTGCCCAACAAATGCACTGAAGGGGGTGCCAAACAACCGCCTTGAAAGGAGTGCCGGAGAAAAACACCCTGTAGGGGGTACCGAACAAACATCTTCTCGGTGGTGCCGGACAAAGCCCTGTAGGGGGTGCCGGAACACGTCCTTTAGGCAGATGCCGGACATACACCCTGTAGGGGGTGCCGCACAAAACAACAAAACTTTTTGTCAACCTTTTAACCATCAAGCCAATTTTTTCTTCTAAATTTCAGGGAACCCCTTAAATAATTTTCAGTCTGCAGCTCCCAGTAGATTAGTACAAATCAGTGAATGTTCCTATTATCATAAACATTCACATTTGTAACTAGAAGCTTTGTTCTGTAGAAGAAACATTTCATTTGGTGGCAAAACATCTGCATTGGGGTTTAGTAGCAGAAATGACCAATTCGATTTCAGTAGCTAAGAATACTTTTCTGGACCCCGTACTTCTCTGCGTCTTGTCGGCACTATCAGTGGATGAAGGGAATGTCCTCTCTGGGGCCCACAGATTCTACTTGTGATAAAGAACAATAAAGTTGTAACAAATAATAAATGGATTTATTTTCACTTCCTGTCCTGCAAACCCTCCCATAGAGAAATCCTATTCCCATTATTATGGACGATTCAGAGTGGAATCATTAACCAATACTCTCTGAATTTGGGCTTTTAGCCAGTTATCTATCCATTTACAAACTGATTTTTCCAAGTCTGTAGACTTCACCTTACAGCTGTGTGTGGGGAACTGTGCCATACGCTTCTACAAATCCAAGTATACCACACCATCCACCCAAATATGCCCCCTCCGTCCAAGTACGCCACAGCCGCCCCCCCCCCGTACAAGTACGCCCCAGCCGCCCCTCCATCCAAGTAAGCCCCAGCCGCCCCTCCGTCCAAATACACCCCAGCCGCCCCTCCGTCCCAAGTACACCACATCCGCCGCTCCATCCCAAGTACACCACATCCGCCCCCCCCGTCCAAGTACACCACCGGCGCCCCTCCGTCCAAGTACACCACCGGCGCCCCCCCCGTCCAAGTACACCACCGGCGCCCCCCCCGTCCAAGTACACCACCGGCGCCCCCCCGTCCAAGTACACCACCGGCGCCCCCCCCGTCCAAGTACACCACCGGCGCCCCTCCGACTTATGACTTCAAAGTTTGACCTTCTTGCTGCCAAAGCCGTTTTGGTGTTTTCTTGCACACATGCTGAAAAGGAGAAGTCATGCTGGCCGGGGACACTGAGGTTGACCTGGAAGTGTCACACATTTCCGGGTCAGAAACAAAGAAGGGAGAGAAGAACGGACATGTGTCTGCTCTCCTCCCTCCCCTTTACCCAGGAGCACCTGCCATGTTGTGTGGAAGCAGTCAGGCGCAGCCTCCCGAATGCTCCATCTGACAGAAAGGAGTCCGCCTGTCAGATTTACACACAATCCCGGTGCGGGAAGCCGCCAGGAATGTATGTAACAGGTTGGTTCATTAACCTCTGCAGGAAAACAGAACTGCCAATCAGCGAGGCGACTTACCTTTATGTTGGCGGTCCATTCCTCCGGAGAAACACGCCGACCACAAGCCAGGACTTGGCCCCCGATGTCCTCACACACACGGGTTGTGCCTAAGAGAGAAAAATCACAACACTTACAATTGGTTCTTTCGATGCACACATTTCTCTCTGACCAATCACATCTCGGGTGAGCCACTACAGCACCTTTCACTGCCGTCTGTGCCGGGACCAGTTTGCTGTCTTACAAAAGACTCATCCTGCAAATGTAACCACTTGTGTCCCACCAGCCATGTACTGGGGGGGGGGGGGGGGTGCTCAGGCAAAGCGCCGCACTGTACACCGCTGCCTGCTTCTGGGCTTAGAGGGGCGCATGCATGTCCCCCCCCCCCCGTGCTGACACTTGATGTGATTGTACACAGCAGGAGTCTGTCAGCAAGTCCCAGCCAATGAATCACACCCGGGACCTGCTGATCAGCTGTGTCCAATCACAGTCCAGAGCCCTGTGTTGACAATCAACACAGAGCTATGTACAGAGGGAACGGTGTTTCTGTTTCTTATCCTAGCAAAGCAGGAATAGGAGACAAAGACCGGGAGTAAAAAGCAGCACACATTAATCATTGTTAGGGACACATTTAACCCCTTGAATACCCAAGATGGTAACCCCTTCCCAGCCAGTGTCATTAGTACAGTAACTGTGTATAGTATTACTGATCACTGTGTTAGTGTCACTGATGTCAGTAGCAGTTAGTGTCAGATTGCCCACCGCACTATCGCAGTCCCACCATAAATTAGCAATCACTGCCATTAGTTTTATAAAATAAATAAAAATGTTATATACACACACACACACACACACATATATATATATATATATATATATATATATACACACACACACACACACACACACACACATATATACATACATACATACATACATACCGTTTTCATGCAAACCAATCAATACACACTGATTGGGATTTTATTTTTTTACCAGAGACAAGCAGCAGAATACATTTTGCCCTAAATTTATGAAGAACATTTTTTATTAAATATGTTTTGTAGCAGAAGATAACATTTTTTCCCCCCAAAAAAAAGGTTCTACTTTTTTCAGTTTATATCACAAAAAATAAAAATCCCAGTGGCGATCAAATACCACCTAAAGAAAGCTCTATCTGTGTGAAAAAAATGCTATAAATTTAATTTTGGTAAAGCTGCATGACCGTACAATTTTCAGTTAAAGTAGCGCAGTGCTGAAAAGCAAAAAACAAAACAAAAGCCCTGGTCATGAAAGGGGTAAGGGCTAGTTCACACTAGATGCAATCCAGTGGGCTTTCTTTCTGCATCAAAAATGCATGCACTGCGTTTTCCATGTATTCCAATGTCCCTGGTTCACACTAGTGCAGTCAGTTCCAGTTTCAGATGCAGAAAAAAAAAAAAGTGGAACAGGCTGCATTTTTTTTCTGGAACATAGCAAACTGCACCGGAACTGGGTGGGGTGTGAACTGTAAGGAAAAACATATCCGGAGTGCATTTTTTTTTTAGTGTGAACCGGCCGTAAAACCTTCCGGAGCTCAAGAGGTTAAAGACTGAATGATCTGTAGCAGGACGGAGGACACGGATCTCGGTGGTCCCCGATATTCAGGACGTCACATGATCAATGGGGAGGTATTTAGAAAAGTTTACAGAAGGAATTATTGAAGAAAAAAGAAAGAAAAGAAAAATTAGAATCGTCTCTTAAAAAGGTGACATTTCCACCCTGCTGTGCGGCTGCCCCATGTATTGTATGAAGAAGTCTCCTGTCCTCACTGCTTCCTCTGTGACCCCGCACTTCCTGCCAGTCCCTCTGATCTCCTATTAACCCCCCCCCCACCTTCCTGACCCGCCCATTTTTTGGGGTACGGCGCTGCATTACTTTGTCTCACAATTGCGTGGTCGTGCAATGCTGTACATAAATTTGTCATTTTTTTTCCCACAAATTTCGCTCTCTGTGTTATTTCTTCACCTCTGCGCTTTATGTTTGTGCTATAAACAGGGGTGTGGAATTGCTTTTTAAAATCTACTAGTCCAGGGACTAAACCGGGGCTCCAACCTACTAGTCCAGAGACTAAACCGGGGCTCCAACCTACTAGTCCAGAGACTAAACCGGGGCTCCAACCTACTAGTCCAGAGACTAAACCGGGGCTCCAACCTACTAGTCCAGAGACTAAACCGGGGCTCCAACCTACTAGTCCAGAGACTAAACCGGGGCTCCAACCTACTAGTCCAGGGACTAAAACCGGGGCTCCAACCTACTAGTCCAGGGACTAAACCGGGGCTCCAACCTACTAGTCCAGGGACTAAACCGGGGCTCCAACCTACTAGTCCAGGGACTAAACCGGGGCTCCAACCTACTCGTCCAGGGACTAAACCGGGGCTCCAACCTACTAGTCCAGGGACTAAACCGGGGCTCCAACCTACTAGTCCAGAGACTAAACCGGGGCTCCAACCTACTAGTCCAGGGACTAAACCGGGGCTCCAACCTACTCGTCCAGGGACTAAACCGGGGCTCCAACCTACTAGTCCAGGGACTAAACCGGGGCTCCAACCTACTAGTCCAGGGACTAAACCGGGGCTCCAACCTACTAGTCCAGGGACTAAACCGGGGCTCCAACCTACTCGTCCAGGGACTAAACCGGGGCTCCAACCTACTAGTCCAGAGACTAAACCGGGGCTCCAACCTACTCGTCCGTGCCGCCCACCATCAGTGCCCAACATCAGTGCTGCCCACCATCAGTGCCCAACATCAGTGCTGCCCACCATCAGTGCCGCCTCATTAACACACGTCAGTGAAGGAGAACAATGATCGACTCAGAAAATTTTATAATAGAAACAAAAGAAAAACTTTTGTCACATTTCTTACTCTTGTTTATAGTACAAAAAAAAAAAAAGTAGGGGGGGGGGGGGGGAGACAGACCCCCCCCCCCCGGGGAGTACAGACCCCTCCCCCCCCCCCGGGGAGTACAGACCCCGAACAAAGCTGTGTGAGGAATGGTGCACAGGTCACATGACCGCGATTGTCCTCCGAAGTGTGCCACCGCTGACAGCTGAACATGGGCCGGGCAGGGGGGGGGGACGTGTCCGGGAGGCAGTGACATCCGGGGGTGTAAGTGGTTAAAAGAATGAAAGCAACCCGCCATTGTATTCTCCGGGCGGTATATGTTCGGGGCTCTAATGTTCTACCAAACAACCCAGCAGATGGAAACAAAAAGAACTACAAGTCCCAGCCCGCCATCCCCATTACCGGAACACGGAAATCCCATCATAGCATTCCTGTCACATCCGGGAACATTCCCTGTCATGGTTTTCCCGCCATCACACACAGCGGCCCCTCACCTCTCCTCCGGGCTCTCCAGGTTGTCCTTCATACTTCCCGCCATTTTATTTCTCCCCTCACGCGCGCCAGACTCCCACCGAAGCAACACTCGGCACAGCTTCGCACGTAGACGCAGATGAGACGGAGAGGCGCATGCGCGGACAGAGGACTGGACGGTCCGCCGTCAAAAACAAGACGAAGAGCGGACAGCGACGCTTAGAGGCTGGAGGGGGTACTGCAACTGGAATCAGCTCCTCCCGGGCGCATAGCGGGGATGCGGTTTTTGGCTGCATTTGAATTCCAGCTGCCTGGATCCGGGGGTGTCCGACCTTCTGGCATTCCATCGGGAGAAGACGAATTGTTTTGGGTGTACACATAAAAAAGAACAAAAAACATTCACAATTTTGAATCGCGGGCAGAAATCATCACCCTCAGCCCATAATCCCGAGTCGCACCGCAGTCGCTGCAAAACGCACCGCGCATGCTCCATACCTCCCAACTGTCACTGATTCCGAACAAGTTCTGCTGTCCTCATTTCCCCTCCTGCCCCTCTGTTCCCCTGTCCTCCTGCCCCTCCGTCTCTCTGTCCTCCTGCCCCTCTGTCCTCCTCATTTGTCCCTCATTTTGGTCTGATCTCTGTAGTTGTATATAAAATATACTATTTATCAAAAAGTGAAGCGCGGGCAGAAATCATCACCCTCAGCCCATAATCCCGAAAAAAAAACGCACCGCGTGCTTCATACGTCCTAACTGTCACTGATTCCGAACAAGGCCCTCTGTCCTCCTGCCCCTCTGTCCCCCTGCCCCTCTCCCCTCTTGCCCCTCTGTCCCCCCATCTCTCTGTCCTTCAACCCCTCTGTCCCCCTGCCCCTCCGTCTCTCTATCCTTCTGTCCCCCTGCCCCTCTGTCTCTCTGTCCTCCTGCCCCTCTGTCCCCCTGCCCCTCTCCCCTCCTGCCCCTCTGTCCCCCCATCTCTCTGTCCTTCAACCCCTCTGTCCCCCTGCCCCTCCGTCTCTCTATCCTTCTGTCCCCCTGCCCCTCTGTCTCTCTGTCCTCCTGCCCCTCTGTCCCCCTGCCCCTCTCCCCTCCTGCCCCTCTGTCCCCCCATCTCTCTGTCCTTCAACCCCTCTGTCCCCCTGCCCCTCCGTCTCTCTATCCTTCTGTCCCCCTGCCCCTCTGTCTCTCTGTCCTCCTGCCCCTCTGTCCCCCTGCCCCCTCTCCCCTCCTGCCCCTCTGTCCCCCCATCTCTCTGTCCTTCAACCCCTCTGTCCCCCTGCCCCTCCGTCTCTCTGTCCTTCTGTCCTCCTGCCCCTCTGTCCTCCTGCCCCTCTGTCCTCCTGCCCCTCTGTCCCCCTGCCCCTCTGTCCCCCTGCCCCTCTGTCCTCCTGCCCCTCTGTCCCCCTGCCCCTCCGTCTCTCTGTCCTTCTGTCCTTCCTGCCCCTCTGCCCCCCCTGTCCCCCTGCCCCTCTGTCCTCCTGCCCCTCTGTCCCCCTGCCCCTCTGTCCCCCTGCCCCTCCGTCTCTCTGTCCTTCTGTCCTCCTGCCCCTCTGTCCCCCTGCCCCTCTGTCCCCTGCCCCCCTGTCCCCCTGCCCCTCTATCCCCTTCCCTCTGTCCTCCTGCCCCAGCCGGCATTTGCAGTATGTGGGTGTCACTGCAGCTTGGGGGGTCAGTGAATGCGCCTCTCCCTCTCATTTACAGACCTATCTGCCCAGCCATTTCCGTCCATCACCTCCAAGGGCTCTTTCACATGGGGGCTGCTGAGCCGTACTTTTACCGCCGCCCCTGACTGCATGCCCAATCATGCTTTACTCTGCAGCTGCTGCATGTTGAAGACTGCAGAGTCTGACAGCCGGCATTGCTGGTCAAACTCTCCCATGGAGGACAATGGGGCTGCTCTGTACGTGTGAGACAAATGCCTAGCTCACAGTCCCAGCACAGTCCCGCAATGTGACACTGACATTCAGCAAAAAAAAAGTAATAAAAAAAAAAATAGGCACCAGGAGGTGGTGGCGGCACCTGCCTGAAAGCATCTCAGCTGCTGCTATACCGCCCTCTGAAAAGTGATCACAGATGTGAAAGAGATACAATCTGACATACAGGTGAAACTGGAAAAATGAAAATATGGTGCAAAAGTTTATTTATTTCAGTGCATCAACTTAAAAGGTGAAACTAATATATGAGATAGACTCATTACATGCAAAGCAAGATAGTTCCAGCCGTGATTTGTCATCATTGTGATGATTATGGCTTACAGCTCATGAAAACCCCAAATCCACAATCTCAGAAAATGAGAATATTGTGAAAAGGTGGAATATTCTAGGGTCAAAGTGTCCCACTCTAATCAGCTAATTAACTATCCCCCTTTGTTTATTTGCTAGCCATGTAAATGAATAGGTGACATCACTGCATCCTGCACCTGCCGGTGTCCTTAACAACCATTAACAGTGGGAAGCTGTCATGTCATACCCATCAGTGGACTGACAACTCATGGGGCCCCCGGGCAATCGGGGATCATGGGGCCCCTGTGTCCTTGCCCAAACTCAAAAAAGCCTATGAAAAAGGTACCAGGGGCATCTCATGGGGCCCCCTACTGACCCAGGGCCCTCGGGCAGTGCCGAGTTTCCAAATGGTCAGTCCGCCCCTGGTCATACCGCTATTATACCTGATGCTAGACTCTCTTGGAAAGGTTGAATGTTATGGGTGTTCATTGTCATCCCTAAATTAAAACATCAGCGCACCGCACAGTGACCAGAAGGCATCGTGGTGACACTCCCCTTGGGGGCTTGTCCTGGATGCACTGCAATGATCTTCTAATGCAGGCCATAGATGGGTCGAAAATCGGCCGATTTTTCGGCCGAAAATAAAATCGGCCGATTTTTCGGATCGTTAGTGGGCTAATTGTTCGGCCCATTTTTCGGTATTTTGGCAGATTTTTTTTATCGGTAAAGTTGGAAAAAATTTGGCTGATCTTTTTACCGATAAAAAAATCTGCGCATGAGCAGTGACCTGCAAGAGGAAGACAAAAAGAAGAAGAAAAGAAGAGGATGAAGAAGAAGAGGATGAAGAAGAGGATGAAGAAGAAGATGATGAAGAAGAGGATGAAGAAGAGGAAGAAGAAGATGATGATGAAGAAGAGGATGAGGATGAAGAAGATGATGAAGCAGAAGAGGATGAAGAAGAAGAAGAGGAAGAGGATGAAGAAGAAGAGGATGAAGAAGAGGAGGAAGAAGAGGATGAAGAAGAAGAAGAGGATGAAGAAGAAGAAGTGAATGAAGAAGAAGAGGATGAAGAAGAGGAAGAAGAAGAGGATGATGAAGAAGAAGAAGAGGATGAAGAAGAGGAAGTAGAGTAAGAACAAGAAGAAGAGGATGAAGAAGAGGAAGAAGAGGATGAAAAAGAAGAGGATGAAGAGGAAGAAGAGTATGAAGAAGAGGAAGAAGAGTATGAAGAAGAGGATGAAGAAGAGGAAGAAGAGGATGATGAAGAAGAAGAGGATGAAGAAGAGGAAGAAGAAGAACAAGAAGAGGATGAAGAAGAAGTAGAAGAAGAGGATGATGAAGAAGAAGAGGATGAAGAAGAAGAGAATGAAGAAGAAGAAGAAGAGGATGAAGAAGTAGAAGAAAAGGATGAAGAAGAAGAGGATAAAGAAGAGGATGAAGAAGAGGAAGAAGAAGAAGAGGATGAAGAAGAAGAGGGATTCCAGTCCGGCAAAAAGTGTCCCTGCAGAGAGCTCCGCTATTTCTTTGACAGTTCCTTGACATTTATAGCGGTTGCAACATTGTATCTATTTGTTTCCGAATAATAACATCTGTATCCTAAATGGATACAAATAGATACATTGTTGCAACCGCTATAAATGTCAAGGAACTGTCAAAGAAATAGCGGAGCTCTCTGCAGGGACACTTTTTGCCGGCTGTAGACGGGATGAAAATCGGCCGATTTTTTTTTACCGTTGCTGGTAACGTCGGCCGCTTGAACGACCGATTTTTCATTTTTTTAAAAGAAAAAGCGGCCGATTTTCGACCCGTCTATGGCCTGCATAAGGCAGTGATCTCTAAACTATGGTCCGGGGGCCCAAATGCAGCCCTTTGCTTGCCTTTATACAGCCCTTGGGGAACTATTTCATTCACCAACACCAACAATAGTGCACAGTTCCTGTCAATGACACCAACAATGGGGCCCAATGACTCTTATGATAGGGCACAATTCCTCCAGATGACATCAACGATGGGGCACAATTCCTCCAGATGACATCAATGATGGGGCACAATTCCTCCAGGTGACATCAACGATGGGGCACAATTCCTCCAGATGACATCAACGATGGGGCACAATTCCTCCAGGTGACATCAACGATGGGGCACAATTCCTCCAGGTGACACCAACGATGGGGCACAATTCCTCCAGGTGACATCAACGATGGGGCACAATTCCTCCAGATGACACCAACGATGGGGCACAATTCCTCCAGGTGACATCAACGATGGGGCACAATTCCTCCAGGTGACATCAACGATGGGGCACAATTCCTCCCAATTACACCAATGATAGGACACTATTCCTACCGATGATGGTGCACTATTCCTATGAATGACACCAATGATGGGGCACTCTTCCTACCAATGGCATCAACAATGGGGCACAGTGCCACCCAATCACACCAGTGATGGGACACTATTCCTACCAATGAAGCTAATGATGGGGCACAATTCATCCCAATGATACAATGATGGGGCACAGTTCCTCTCCATGACACCAACAATGGGGCTCAATGACTCTTATGATGGGGCACAATTCCTCCCAATGCCATCAACAATGGGGCACAGTTCCTCCCAATTACACCAATGATAGGACACTATTCCTACCGATGAGACCAATAATAGGACACTATTCCTACCAATGACACCAATGATGGGGCACAATTCCTCCCACTGACTCCAATGATGGGAAACCTTTTCTCCCACTGACACCAATGATGGAACACTATTTCTACTAATGAGACTAAGAATAGGACACTATTCCTACCAATGACGCCAATGATGGGGCACAATTCCTACCAATGATACAATAATGGGGCACAGTTCCTCTCCATGACACCAATAATGGGGCCCAATGACT